AACAGTTTTGAGTTTTAGGAGAATAGGCAATCATGTTTGATCAATGTATTAAAAGTGTGAGTTGTGGGCGAGGCGTCCAAGGGATAGCCCAACTTAGGTGTGAGGTAAAGTCTCACGAGACCTAAATTTTTTAATATATACACTAAGCGTACACATATATTACATTAAAAAAGAAGAAGATTCTTAATCAATAATCACCCTAAGCACACACATATATTATAAATACATATACACACACATATATATATATATATATAATAGATGATGAAAAACACAATGAGCACACATATAACAATGCATGCAAACAGCACACACATCCATTATATAAATAAAAAAATAAAAAAAATAAAAAGGCAGGGAGATGATAGTGCAAGGAAGATGTATGAGGCAGTTAAAACCCTACCCAAATTTTGGGTTTGGGAGTAAAAATAAAATAAAATCCCCTAAGGCACACCTAGGCGGCTCCGGCGACGCCTTCTGCCGCCTTTCACCCACTCCCTCAAAACAGAGACGGCAACCCTTAAGTCCAGCTTCACAAGGCACCTAGGCGCGCCCTGAGGTGAGCCTTTTAAAGCATTGTGTTTGATAGACAATTAATAATTCAAAAAAATTTGAGCAATGAAAGGGTGTACAACTGTTTTGCAAACAAAAAATATGGTTTCAAAATTGCTTGGTGAATCTAATACATATTTGGTTGGAGCCTTTGGAGTGGAAGGGTATACATATATGGATCAAGAACATTCAAATTTGATACAGATAGTGTTTTAGCACCCTCTAACGGTTGAGATCCATGTTGTGGCCTTGTGGAAGGTGGCAAAATCCTGATACGGTTCCTAGACTCCCTAAATCTGCATTTATAATTATTTTTCGAATGAGGAGGATGTTAGCTTTGTTTAGAAGGCTAATGTATCTACATGTTTGGATTTGAATGTAATTTTGGGTAATTTTGAAAGAAGAGGGGAAAAATTCATACGATGCTCTGTATGAGTGTAATTTTGGGATATTTGGATTGATGAACTGACTGATTGTTAACCATTATGCAGGAAGAAGAGAGCAGAGAGATTATAGAAAAAGAAAGAGAAAACATAGGAAACTTAGAGAGAGAAAGAGAATGATTTCTCACTTATATTTTCTTGATTAATTTTCTGGTTACAAACTATTGCTATATAGATGGATATCACCTAACTGACTTATCCGAATCTTACAAGTCCAACAATCCTAACTGCCTTATCTATATACTCTAACATCCCCTCGCAAGCTCATAGTGGTCCAAGCATGAGATTGTTGCAGTGAGTGTTGAACAATGGTGAACTCAGGGCTTTGGTCAAAATGTCAGCAATTGCTAGGAAGAAGAGACAAACTAAACCAAGAAGCTTCTTGACAGATGACCATCATGAGAACAGATTTTGATACATCATAAAAGATCAATTGAATTCTTCCAACCAAATGCACAAGTAATCTAGCAATAAGAAATTCCAACTCAAACTGTAAAAACCAGCCCAGCAACCCAGCAATTAAGAAGGAAGAAATCATTCTCAAAGTACATCCAAGATAAATGCTTCTGAACAAAAACATGGGGCCTCCACCTTTGTCAAAAATTCTCATATGGTAGCCTAACTGTGTATCACATATACTTCCACCATTGCATAGCCGAAGTACATAAAATCTTCGGAACTCATGTACAACAGTTTGAGTAGGAACACCAATTTTCACCTTGTTGTCAGAGTTAAGAACTGGAAATGTCACTTGAATACACGATTGTAAATTCACTGAAATCAACTGAGAGTTTGCACTTTCCTTGTCAATACATTCCAAAACTTGTTTTCCTACATAATCTAAAAACATTTCATCACGATCGTTCTGCTTTGAAGCACTGATAAAAGCTCCCGTTGCGGAATTAAGTGGCAGGGAAGATTCAAGGTAATGAGATCAAGAATTGACCATAACAGAGTCCGTCTCAATTGAATCCATTGAATCAGAAACTCAAAGCTAATCCAGCAAGTTTAAATCTTGTGTAATAGATGAGTTGGTAGTTTGAGCAGAACAATGGGCAGCAAGATGATCCTTATATGAACAAGTTTGACATGTAGTAATTGCACGTGGCAGAAAACTAGGATATGAAGATGGAAGTGAGCCACGAATTCCATTGTAACTATCAACATTATTACCATAGCTTAACTGGCATGAACTAAAATTGGATTGAGCATGGTAACCACCATTAAAGCCAGCATGAAATTAAGAGCTAATGAGAGGAAAGAAAGAACCTTTTTTCTCACATTCAACAAGAGCACAATCCAAAATGGCTTCCCTAGTGAGCAATTATGAACGAAAGTCCTTGAGTGAAATGATACTCTCACACCCTCTGAGTACACATTTAAATGTGTTGTATTTTGGAGAGAGTCCATTCAACGCAATGATCACAAAGTCTTCATTAGCAAATGTGACACCAAGAATAAAAAGTCCATCCTTTGCTTCTTTAATTCTTTGAAGATACTGGGAAATTGAATTTGATCCCTTCTTAATGTTGTAAAGATCAGTCTGTAATTTGATTATACTAGTTTTTGTACTTGGGAAGAAAAACTGGTTTTGAAGACGAACCCACATCTCTTGCGAACTCTTGCTACCAATCACATAGGAAATAGCAGATGAAGAAAGTGTGTCAGTAATTAACAACATTAAGGAATGATCATGCATTTTCCAGACTTTGTACTCATCATTTTCAATTCTTGAAGATGAAGTACCAGATGTTACCTCTGAATCTCCTGAAGAAGTAGAAGAAAACTGAGCAAGACAGAGATTTAATCCGTCAACGAACCTCATAAGTCCATGGACTTCAAGCATCAACTACATCTAAAAATGCCATTGTAGATAGTTGGTCTCATCCAGTTTCACAGTAACAGACGTGGAAACGGATGAAATCAATGTAATGATCGGTGACTGCAGGATTTGAAGTTGATTCACAGTTACCATGTTGGAAAATTGTAGAGAAATCTTTTTGAGGAAAAGGCTCAAACACCTGGCATGCACAATCTTTCAAAGCGAAGAATAAAGAATTGGGCTTACGACTGCGAACCCACAAAACAAAGCAAGTCTTCCTTTAGCTACCCACTTTATCACAGAGAGAGAAAAAGAGAGAGCGAGTGTAGTTCGAATTTGCCAGCAAGTCGACTCAATTACCACAACGAAGATGGCAAGCGAGCCAACTCGGATAATGCTGGCAGTGAACAAGTCAACCATCAAGGGCTACCCGCACGCCTCGATCAGCAGCAAAAGAAAGAATCGAAGAAGACGGTTACAGAAGAAGAAAGAATTTCGTGTAGTGGAAGCAAAAAAAAGGATCGAAGAAGCTGATCAAGCTTTAATGGCTCTGATACCATGTTAACCATTATGCAGGAAGAAGAGAACAGAGAGATTGTAGAAGAAGAAGGAGAAAACAGAGGAAACTTAGAGAGAGAAAGAGAATGATTTCTCACTTGTATTTTCTTGATTGATTTTCTGATTACAAACTGTTGCTATATAGATGGATATCACCTAACTGACTTATCCAAATCTTACAATTCTAACTGCCTTATCTATATACTCTAACATTGATGACATCATTTTCTAGTGGAAAGAATGTGAATTCTGTTCCAAACTGTTACCGAGACATCACGTTGTAGAGACAAATTTACAGTACATTATAATTATTGGACAGGGACATCATGATGATGATAAATCAATTTCACGTAAGTTATTTTCTGTCATCCCAACGAGATAAAATTATAAATTTTCTGTTATATTACTGTGGAAGAAGTTAGTGCAAGCTAGTGCAAAGAGGTCATGTAAGGTGTAGATGTTGTAGTTGTGGAGTCCAATCTCGATGGTTGTGAGGCATCATATAAATCAAGGAATTTTCTTGCCTTTGAAATGATTTCTTTCTTTGTGTTTAGTGATTGGATGATAATGTATTGAATTTGAGGGAGTAGATTCTGAACACATCTCCCACCAAAAGTCCAATTTCTCCAAAATTAAGGGTTTAATTTAAAGCTGCTAGAGCCACCTAAGTGTCATATTTCTCTACCCACATTATATTCTCACTCACCATGAAAAGATAAAAAATTAAAATGTTATTTCTCAACCTACTATTATTCTTAAAATAAGCTTCAATATGCTATTTTCTCATCCACTATTATTTCTAAAAAAATTAAAATATTATTTCCCCAACACCGAAATCTCCTCTGACAATACTCTATCAGCAAATGAATGACATTTCAAATGCTCTATTGCCATTATTATGCACTCCAATAACTGTCATTAATATTCAATCATCATCATTTGCTAGCTTCTTACCCTTAATTGAAAAGGGTATCCACACCTTTTTCGTTCCAAAATTCCTCCTATCCTCATCCCTCGTCTTTTTTGCAAATTCAGCTTACATATTGTCCATACATATCACAACTCAATGTAAGTTTCAAGCTCTTGTTACCTTTTGGCATCCAACATATTATTATTATATAGCTTTTAAGGTCCTTATCAGTCATTTTACAAATGGAAAAACTTGTAATTAAAATTCTCATTAAAAAGTGAGTGGGAAGATATGATATTGACGCGGGAATAACAACACTCTTAATTTATATGTTGTACTAAGTCACACTCGTTTTTTCACTCTCAACCACTTGTGTTTATAAACGCACGAGTAATCTGTGATCAAAACTTAACTCCTTATTTTAATTTTGATTATGAATAATTAAACACGTCCAAAACAAATTTCATGATGGTTAGATATTCACCTCGATTCAACATAATCAATTATTCAAATTGATGATTCCCCAAAACACAAAAAAACAATGACATGGGATTTGGTTATAAAACAACGACTCAGCCAATTAGGGAATAAAATATAAAAGAAATTATATCCAACAAATGCTAGGTGGGTAATCGCACTTCGGACATGATAATTACAAAGTTTGGAATATAATCATCATTAAAGTTGTTGTGTTCATCTATCCATTTGCAAACCAAGTAGAACATCACATGGTCCCGGCGGGGGTAAAACAGTCATATCACATCTAAAGCTGAACTACTTATGTTACCAAATAGTCAACACCGAATGGGATCAAACGTTTTCCCATGAACACGAGGGGTCAAGGACCCTCCGACCTCCCATCAGCTTCCTTGTCTTCCTGTTAAACTCTCCTTGTACGGCTACGATTCCCTCTCTGTGCCCATAGCTTTTAGTTTCTACATAAAATAAATACAATTATCTGTGTCCAAAGTATTTCTTTGTTTTTATGCTGCAATTTGCTTGGTATGTATGCTGTATACTCAGTCGATCAAATTCATGTAAGTTTTAATCTTGCTCTTTTTGGTGGAATTGTTATGTTGTTTGATTTGATTAGATTTATTTGAAACATGATGATTCTTTTGATTAGATTTGGTTTATCAGATTCTTGCTGTGTTTTTTTTTGCTCTTCAAATCATGTATTTTTCTTGCTTTTACTTCTTTCCCCATGTTTTAATATCTCAGCTTTTGGTAGTTTCATAAATCATTCAGTGGAGAATTATGCGTTTTTTAATTAATTTGTGTTGAATTGAGTTCGCGTGATTAAATCCAAGTTGTTAAGACCTGCTTTCGGTGTATTTCAATTTTTCAAGTGTTAATTAATATGCTTTTTGTTTTTCTGCATTAAATGTCTGAAAAAAAACATGGGGATGCAGACTTGCAGAGCAACATATAGCTATGGATCTCATGTGATATAGTGTGAGTGATCAGAGCAGATGTTTTGGTGGTTATTAGAAGTTCAAGGTTAAGACATTGAAAAGGAGAAATAGTTAAAAAGGATAGCTGTTGGTAAAGATGACGCCGGTCAGAAGGCGAAATAAGGATTTCTGTGGTGAATCAAAGTAGTTAGTACGAGGCTTTGTTCTTTTGGTCTAAGTTGTATTTGTTGCAGAAAAAAGGTATTCCTCACATGAAAATTCTTTGATGATATCTCAAGGTTTTGGCAAGATAACTTATTTCTAGACTATAGGATCGAAAACTAGGATTCCCATTTCACAGCATAGTTAATTACATGAGATCCACAACCATATTTCTCTGCCATTGATCTTCATAGAATCTATATATATACATATATGATGCTGTGGTTGGATGAATAATTTATTGTATAATAATTTACAGTTTGTCATTCTATACGTGTTGATTATCGGTTCTCATTAACATGGTATGAACACAGGTCTGCACTCACTTCTAGAAGTGTACGTAAGCTTCATGGATGATGGACTTGGAAAATTAAAGATCGTCCCAGATCATTTTAAAGCATCCGAACCCAATATAGACTCTTTTCAAGACGTAGCTTCTTTTATCTTGCGACCAAGAACTGATAACTATCTGAGGTATGTCTTTTTCTTTGGAGAAAATAAAAGAACAAGAAAAAAAAAAAAAATTTAAGAATAAGGTCATTCAAATTGGTGTAGCATAGGTCCCGTTCGTGGAGTAGGAGAAAATTAAGAAGTGAAGCATACATGTTGAAATTCTTTAGTCTGCGGGGACTGCCATGGGGGTCTAGCACAGATGGGGAAGAAAAGGTTGATTCAGTAACTCTTTCAGTTCCTCGATTGAGTCCTCTGAAAATTCCATGTCCCTAACAGCTAGAATTGTTTTAACTGTCAGGTTGAGCTAACTGCTGTAGAACTAGAATCACTTCGAACGGATCTTGCTGATTTAGAAGAGAAGGAAGCGCACTTGAAAGCTCAGTAAGGGAATTTGATACTTTTACCATTACATGTGATTTGCATCTTTGCACACTACATGATACTTATAATGCTTTTGAACATTTTCAGTTTTTAGCTGAGGTCTTATATCACTTTGTGTTAGTGGACCAGAATTTGTTTCCCTTTTAGGATAGGCCTTGAACTGAAATTATGTCCTCGTCATATCAATCATGAACTGCTTATGTTTTATGCAGATTGGAACACGTTGATGAAATTTTGCGATCTGCTCGTCTCTCTGGCTATTTGTACATCCGAACTGTAATGACCACCCCCTAGTCAATTTTTACTTTGAGCATGTACTTAGTGCATAATGCCAATTATGGTTTGCTTATATTGTCTCTTTTCGATTTGATAGAGGTGGAAACCACTACCAGGAGAACCTCCCCCTCTTGATGATACTGACGTTGATGACTGGCTTCCTCGCTTTGTTGTCTTGCAAGGGCCGTGCATTTTCTTCTACTTGTTTTCCACGGGTAAATATTCAATGAATCATAGTCCCCTGATGTCCTAGCGTCATTCTTCCCATGCGGACTTGAACATATTCTGACCGCTGATGAGCTCCTTCTTCTTCCAGATTTGAGTCCTCAAGACTCCACCCTATTAGCTGATATTGTTGAAGTAAGCCCCTTGCCCAGCTTTACACGAGACGATGAAGGAACTCGACATGCATTTTGTATCTTAACTAGTCAAGGACTGCGATTCGAGTGCTCAAGCGCTTCTAAGGTGCAGGTACGCCAGTTTTTTCTTTGTTTTGGTGTAGTGTTCTTAAAGCTATGCCTTCATGCTATGTTGATTTCTTGCGTTCTTTTTTCCTACTGCCAAATTGTCCGTATTATCAATTATACGATTAAGTTCTCGCGTTTTCTCAGGTGGACTCGTGGTTGTCAGCGTTACGAACGGACTGCGAATTGGAGGGTTCAGATGCCACAGATCCAAAGGACTCGTGAGATGCAAAATTAGACAGTTTAGGAGCAGCAAGTTGTAGATAGGTAGAAATGTAAAACCCATACTTACATTAGTTCATCTGACTCTGATGTTATAAAATTGGTTCATATTTTCTGACGTACTTACTATATAAGAATTAATAACAGAATCTAATTGAAGCAGCAATGTTATTACTGATATTGGATGCCCGTATTCTTCTTCCTCAGGTGATTACCATTACGTGTTGCCTTTTCATTTACTTTGTTTGAATGCATATCATTGTCTCTTTCCTCCATAAATGGGTGGCAATGGGTTTTGTTGGGGTTTATCCATGTTTATATGTATATTGTTCGGTGTCAAATCCACGGATTGATTGACACGTAAAACGAAATACGAAAAGTTATATACTAAAAAAAATTGAGAAAATTTTTCATTTTAACTATAATAGTTCAACAATGTTAAAAGGTGGGCACATGGAATCCTATATTCGTGCGGATTCTAAGTCGCCTTTAATTTGACAGTAAGAAGCACCAGGTATTCACCCTAATTGAATAAAAGCTATATCTATGGAGCAAACTCTAATACGGTGTAGTTAATATTGTTTAGAAATGGGATTGTGTAAATTTAAAAATAGAATTTGGGATATCTGGTCCTTTATGACCTGTATTCTTTGTGAGGCAACTAAAGCCAACCTAATTAATATAAATAAAGGTACAGGGCTATGAGGAAGAGTGTGATTCACAACCCCGAGTTCTGTTTCTCCCTCTTGTTGTCCCCTCTTTACCCTCACCATACAAATTTTCCTTCAACACGTTATCAAGACAAATTGTCTCTCTGGAGGGAAGATTGAGTCAAGAACGGTGTCTTTGCAATCGTATGTCTAGTGGGGAAGTTAGTTAGCTGGTTGATAGTGCTACAACGCATACCATCTTGCGTGAATGCAAGTACTTCACCAACTTCATACATAAAATCTCGTCTCTGACAACTCTCTCATGCCCATGGTATGGTGTTTACCATAAATGAAGCATTATATTCTCCACATTTCTAGTAGAATGCTTTTCAACTTTAAAGATATTAAAGAAAATGGCTATTAAGACAAAACCACCGAAGAAAGAGGAGTGGAATATCTTTATATTACTTCCTATAATGGCACTAAGCGTATAAAAAAGATAGAGCGACTTCTAAATGGGTTGTACCTAATAGCCATCAGAATCGCTAAGGTCCACTATGTGGCCAACCCTAAGGTGGAAAACCTGTAAGTTCTTAAGCTTTGACACGATCATCTAGGACATCCGGGTCAGGATATGATGCACCGAATCCTTAAAGGTACAAAAAGGCATCCTCTTACTAAAAATAAGATTGTACATTTAAACGTGCCATGTCAAGCTTACTCCTTGGGACAATTAATCCCAAGACCATCTCCAACAAGTATTGATGCCGACCTTTTTGCTTTCGTCCAAAGGATTCAAGGAGATATCTGTAGGACCAATTCAATTACTACATCGACACATTGGTCACATGTTTACTTATTGTCCACAGGCAAGCTACCTCTACGAAGATCATGGCATAGATTGTTAAGCTGATGGCTCACCACCCTAATTATCCGATAAAGTCGATTCAACTGGATAATGTCAAAGAATTTATGTCAAAGGCTTTGCATGACTATTGCATGTCTAAAAGTATCGAAGTTGAACATCTTGTTCCCTATGTTCACACCTAGAATGGTCTCGCAAAAATGTTCATAAAGCGCCTTTAATTGATTGCTAGGACCTTGGTCTTGCGCACTAAGCTTCCAATTTTTGTGTGGGCCTATGCAATTTTACATGTAGCAATACTTGTCCGCCTACAACCCATCACTACCCAACATTAATTATCGTTATAGTTGGTTGCTAGATAAAAGATTAGAGTCTCACATTTATGCATGTTTCGGTATTCCATTTGTGTGCTGATATTGCTGCCACAACATACCAAAATGGGTCAGCAAATAAGGTTGAGAATCTTTGTCGATTATGTTTCACCTTCGATTATTCCCCATTAAAGCCCTTGACAGGCGGTCTCCTTATCACTAGATTTGTGGATCCTCACTTTGATGAGGCAGTCTTCCTACCGTTAGGGAGATGAAAGAATGTCAATGTTGATGATGAACAGTATGAATTAGCGTGGTTGGTTCCCACTATGTCTCATCTCGATCCCTATGCAGCATAATGTGAAATGGAATTATGACATATTCTAGATCTTTAAAGCCAGACACTTTTAATTATCTAGCAAGAGTGATAATATCACATATATTAGCTATAAACGTGTATGTAAGGATTGACATGCCAAGAAGGCATCAAAGCCGCATGCAAGAAAGGTGTGTCATACCCCATTGTATTTCATCGAGGACAACACCTAATGGACATGCTAGTACATTGACGGCCAACCAATTAGATACCCAGCCCTAGAAGCGAAGCAAACTAGTAAGTTTGAAGGATTCACACCCTTATAAGAAGAGAAAAAATGGCACAGCCTAATCCTAGCTAAATCGTTGTCTCTATTTTTGCAACACATGAGGTATTCTAGACTACGGTAGTGCCTTGGATGAGACAGAACGGCCTCTTGAAAATCAAGAGATTTGAGTCCACTATGCTTGCTTGGATGCACTTTAGAATAGGAAAGAGATGATCACTAATGATGCATTTGCATATATTGTAGCTACTGGGATCTTGCAAAATGATGACATCGAACCACGTTTCATAGACAAATGTCAACATAGATCAAACTTTATTCCTTAGCAAAAGTGAAAGGTGTTTGGTGCCATAAGGCCCACACCGCCTAATGTGAATTCGGTTGGTCATAAGTGGGTTTTATTCAGTCCACCAATTGCCACCTTGTTGGAGCCTTTTGATTGGTTAATTCTTGTATACAAGGTAAAGTGAAAACCCAAAATATGGGTTACATCCTGAACCCATTCAAATGCCCGATTTAGTCAGAAAAATCTATAAAATTTGTCCCTCTTATAGCTTGCTTAACTTATAAAATTGGAAAGAAAAATTGTTAAACCCATCCAAAAAAACCAATTGGTAAACCTAGTATATAAATTGCCCAATGCTTTCTTGCTTTCATGATGGGGGTTGATTGAAGCTCTGATTGGCTTTTCGGCGACAATGACGAGCGTCTTCGGTTTGCGAATGAGAAGGTTCTTTCAAGAGTGTTTGCCTTGAGGTTGCGTAAGTCCCAACCACACGATCTCATTAAAAGAGTTTGGATGACTTTGCACACCATCTCTATTTATGGACTAAAATAATGCAAAAACAACATAAATGATGTTATCCATACATCTCTTTTTACCTCTCACACACCTTTTGTTGGAACCAAATTTGTGCACTTCCGCGGATGGAGACGAAATCCAGTCAAAATTACTTATGAGCTCCGGCAAAAGGAGAAATGGGTTATTGGAGGATTTGACTGAATCCAGATCCAACTACCTATATATTTCTGGTGAAAGAGAATCAAATTACTAGTGTAGTTCTACGAAAGTAGTATGTATGTATGGTGTGTGCTACATCAAAATACATCTTTGATGATGGTGCCTTAGCTTGGCAGGCTTTAGAGATGTTTATCCAATCTTCATGTAGATGGCGACGTATATAAGAGATGTGTATGGTAGAGAATATCAATCCTCGTAGAGATAATGATCAGAGAGAGGTAGAAGTTCTTGATACATACCTAGGCTAGAGTATTTATAGAGATCTTGAAAGTCCTTGTAGGGAGAGTAATCCCTATTAAACTAGGAGGTTATCTAGGATAAGATTGTTGGAGTTATGCCCTAAAAACTAATTAAAGAGTTCCCTGTACCGAAAGAATGGTGTAAGAAATAAACAAAGTCACGCGAGGGTCGTAAAAGATAGGCCCATGCTAGGTGCCTAAGTCATTGCATTGGATGTTATTTCTTGACCAAGTTGTCTTGCTTATGATCGATTAATGAAACCAGATTGGAATCAGTTCGAGGCTAATTAGAGGAGCCATACATAATTGAGGCTAATTTAAATTGGAGTTTAGCTCATGCAAGTGGCACGTTATGAATCTTGTGATTCCAGGCCCCAGTCTTGTTTGAGAGTTTTTAAAGCATGTAAAATTTTACATTTAATCATGTATACAATTAAATAATTAAAAGTACTGACCTCTTAAAGCGCTACCATGATTTCTACCAAGGTTGTTCACCCGTTGGATGGGCCTTCAAGTTGTCTTCCTCATTAGAGTTCGAACAAGAAAATGTGAACTATGCAAATCCGCAAAAAAATCACTGTTGTTTTGTATGTAGTAAAACAACGATATATTCCTCGTTAGGGACTGGAACCAGAAGCCGTAAAATTCTATGGAAAGTTGACATCTGTAAATTTCCAACAATATAAGCCTCGTTGTCCAATTATGTCTGAGGAATTCCAGTTTAGTTTGCAAAGTGGACTCATGTGCATAGGCAGTTTGTTGATTATCTTTTACTTCGTGCTGGAGTTGGTTCTTGTTCCATGCTTACATTCCATTTTTGAACTATGCGTGGGTGATCCGAAGTTGCAAACACACTTCTTGTGTCCTTCAGATTAACTAATACTTGCACTTTAGATTATAGACAATGACATGTTGTCTAAGCTTAATTACCACACTTATTCATTTTCCATGAAGCATTCGGGATTTGTAGGATCGACCTGAATATTAAGATCATTTGTTGCGATCGCCAATTCCTAGATTGTAGGAATCTCCAAGAATATAGGCAACCTGCTTGATCCCCAACTGGATTAGGCTTCCATGTCATGCGAAACAAGTAAATCTTATCTGAAGCCCAACAAAATGTGGTGCCACATGGGTTCGTTTGTTTTCAGCTCATTTCAATCAGAGTTGTTTAGTCCATAACTAGAATATGAAGGCGTATTTACTCCGACTTGACTTACATTGGATAGTTTAAAAGTAAGAGTACCAATGTCGTTCGGATTTGTTTATGTGTAGGAATCCGGATCCATAATGACCATGGATGTAGGAGTCATTTCAGATTCATAAACTTTTTCTTCTACTCTATATTGTATGCCCCATGTCATTTTCCATTACAAACCAGCTATGAAGGAGAACAAGTGTGGAGTTGTCACTCAATGTTTTGCGACTGACTTTGTTTTTAGCTTATCGAAGTGGACTTGTGTTGGCTGAAATCCTTAGGTTAGCCGTTA